GTTACAGAATACATTTTGGGGCATGTAAATTGTAATCTGTAATGGAATACATTTTAAAAGTAACCTTCCCAACACTGATCGGCAGATATACAAATTTATGATATCGGTATTGGACGTTAACAAAGTGGTATCATGCCATCTCTAGTAGTAAAAAATCAATTAAATCAGTATTTTTATTTTAAACTGAAGCCCAGTTTGAGCTGGATGTTAGTAAATCTGACCCCGACCTCTGCAAACATCTTCCTGTTGAGTTTATGGGCTCAGTCCTAGAACAGCTCTGTGAATTTTGGTTGTTACCCAATTCATACTACAGTAGGAATTTGTTACCCAGCATCACATCTGGTCACATCTGGTTTCCAAACACCTGCCAGCCACCAGTGCTACCCCTCGGCCTCCTAGTAGATGCATGTGTGGTTTCCCTCAGCTCGTCAGTCCCAGCAGGCGGTTACAGCGTTTCTGTTCAGAGTGTTTCTCCTGTCGCAGCACTGACGAGGACACGGTAACAAAGACAGGCGACACAGGCAGGTACAGTCAAGAACATCCTTTTATTCAATCAAGTAAAGGTGTTGCTCTTTTCAAACTGTTTTTTTATTATTATTATGGAAAAGAAACTGTAATTAACACATGCATTTCACCATGGGCTCTGGGAGGTGTGTCTGAGGATGGGACGGCTCTGACAGAGGGGAAGGAGGGGGAGGGGCACTTGTGGTGGGCGGGGTTAGTCTAGCTTGGGAGCTCAGTCACTACATCGCTAAACAGCATCCTTAAAACAGTGATAGAAACTGAGCGAGGAAAACTTAAAAGTGAAACATGCTGACGGGCCACAGGGTCCGACTGGGCTCTTGAACGGTGCAGGCGTCGGATACTGCAGACGCCCGCCTCTCGACTAAAGCGCACACGCACACACACACACGCACACACACACGCACACACACTCGCTCTGCTGTGTGACCTGTTTGTCTCTGATATGGCTTCTCAGCTATGGCGCTTTCACTCGTCAAGGCTTCGCTGATAATACTGCTGCTGGCTTCATTCGCTTAACGCAAAAAAAAAAAGACATTTAAACGTTGCATAACTTTTGTTTTCTTCTCGCGATTTTGCTGGTGGTGCTTACATCTAATGTTTACAGGATTTGGAACCACATGACTTTGGTGGATAGTGATGGATCGATAAGTCACATTTTGTAAGGATTGTGCTGAAGTCTGTGCTGTGGCACCGCTCTGTTTTTAAGGTGCTTTGAGTCATTTTTCATGTTTTTTCTTCTCTTTATAAGAGCTATTCTCATTCACTCGTCCTCAAGATGCATAACCAGGTCACGACGCATCGTCCATCAAGACGAAATAATAAAAAAATTTCAAATTCAATTAAAAAACAGAAACAAGGAAACCTGCAAACGAACAAACCTGCCTACGCTAGCAGTCCTGCTGGTCACCACCCTCGCCTAAAGCCCAGTATCACGTTCCTCGTGCTTTTATCCCTCCACCTTTCTTTCTTTTTTAATCCTGTGCCCTTGTCCTCAGCACAGCCCAGAGCCCTGTGGTGTAACTTGTTCACTTACATTAGCTGTTTGAATGGAGAAGCTGAAGAAGATGGGTATGGTAATACAATGTGAAGCGTACAGACAAGAATAACATGTGAGCTAACTGCATTCTGCTCAGACAACAAAAGAAAAAAAAACCTTTGCGTATTCTTCTTCTTTTTTTTTAACCCCGCCGTTCAGAGAAAAGGGAGAAAAGGAAGGAGGGGGGAAGGAAGTGGGAGAAGGGTACGCGGCTACAGACTACTCCAGTGTCCAAGATAGACAGACGACAAGATACAGAGGAAGAGAAGCAAGACAGAAAATATTCTTTTTTTTGTTGTTTTTAGGTTTTGTCTTTTTTTTTTTACGTCTTTTCTTAATAATTCAACAATAAAAAGAGGAACTAAATCACACCAATTTCCTTTAGTACTATGTATACTGCTTGAAAAAGCTCTGAAGAATAGGAAGAGAAAGATACAGAAGAAGCATGAAGGAGGGGACTTTTTTTTGAGATGGGCACTCAGGATTACAAGATGGAATCTGTGAACAAAAGGCACTTTTTAGGGACGACCTTTAAAGATGCTCTGAGTCTAAAACACTACATCACCAAACAAATATTTATAATCATTTACAGCGGGGAAGGGGATTGGGGGAGGATGGTGGTGTGTGTGTGTGTGTGTGCATGTGTGTGTGGAGGGTTGGGATGGGGGGGTAGGGTTCACACTGTTGGTAAATTGATGACAGCACCCCCCCCCCCTAGCCAGACAGAGGCCGCTAATTCCCTCTTTCTTTCTTTCTTGTTTAAACAAGTAGACGTTTACATTAAAAAACCAAAATAAACATTTTCTTTCATTTCTGTGGACGTCATCATCGGTGGTGAATGGGGAATCCGTACTTGTGCATCTCCCAGAAACGGGGAAGATCTTGTCTTTGTCCCACGCTAGGCGTGTCGGACACAACATGATGGAGAAGAAAAGAAAGAAACAAAACACAAGCTCTGACGTGATTTTCATTTTTCCCTGTTTGTTTGTCCTGCAGCGGCGATAAAGTTCGGGGAGGAAAAATGCCTTTTGTCCTACAATGAACCTCTCACCCCCCGCCCCCCTCCCTCGGTAAATACAAAAAGAGAAATAGAATAACGCACATTTTCCTAAAATTTGCTTTTTTATGATAACACTTAGTTCTTGTTTATTATTATTTATGTATAATAGAGACTGAATGTACTTTAATCTTTTACGAAAGCACCAGTTTTCATAGTGATATATATTTTACGAGTTGCAAAATTGTTCCTTCAGCCCTCCCGTGGTTTCTGAAAACAAATGAATAGAAATGAAGTTTTTTGTTTTTAAAAATGAACAAAAAAATGTAAAATAATTTCCCCAAACTTACTTACAAAGACTGGGATTTTTTTTTCTCGCTGCTCTCGTATTTAGAGTCCCGGAGCAGGTGGACTTTAAAACAAACAAAAGCCCCTCCCCCCCAAAAAAGATAAAACAAAGAAAAAAGAAGAGGGTTTCCCTCTTTTTGTGTGACACCCTCAAACAATCGCTAACAAACAAACACAATTCCTCTACCAAGGCATTGCACATGGCTCAATCAACATACATCATTTAGTTTCAAGAACAATACTTCCCATCAAGACACGAAAGAAAACAACAAACCTAATCTGCTTTATCTTTTTTTAACTACGTCATCATCACTTGTTGTCTATGTATCTACTGTTGCGTTTGCCTTTAGCTTGATGTCCTGTAACGCGGGTGTGAGCGGGTTTACAAACTGGTACTTTAGCTCAAATCAGCTTTTTCTGTGTGTGTGGTTTTTTTCTGAGATGCATCCTATGACTGCGCGATGTACGCCATGCTTCAAAAAATAACTAGACTGCCACAGAGCTTATCTTGCAAATAAAAAAAGTATATATCTATAAATATATATGTGTATTATATATAAAGATGCTTGTGATTATCTAGTGAGCTGTCACCGTGTTTTTTTCTCCCCCTACTGACATAAATGTGTTTTTCCACCATTCACTATAGCTTATATGTGAGAAAAAGAACCTGAATTCATGTTTGACAAATTGCATAATGGGAATACAGAGGCACTTCCATAGATTAGAAAAGAAATCACCTTTAGCCGTCGTTAATGTCTGACTCAGCGGAGCTAGATCTCTCTACGAAGCTGATGAGATGATCGCCATCGATTGGCCGGCTATGTCGCGCTTTTCCCTGCAGTGAAGAACGTGGCCAGGCAGTCCAGTTATTTTGTGAGGTTGGGTGGGTGATTAGCTTTTTAGTAGGGCTAAATTTGTGGGCTGATTCTTTATAAAGTTCTAGATAATGATTGAAAGCATAAAGGCCTCCTCAGATTGTCTATCTTTAAGACTTCCCTTTGAGTTCAGTCGGGCACGGGGGCGTGTTAGTAGTGAGTGGTCTTCGTAAGTCTGTGTGGAGTTTTTAAAGAAGTGGCGATCTGTGCTCTACAAGTGTGATTCCATCCCAGTAATACATCCACTGATTTGCAATACTAAGTGGTGGTCGATCTATTGTAACCATTACAACAAAAAGTGATAAGGTTGGCTGGCATGATTGTATTAGTGCAGTTTTTTGATCTATAAGGGCTCTTCCATTCACCGTAGCTCAGGGGGAGTGCTGGTGCGTGTGTGTGCGTGTAAGTGTGTGTTGTGGGAATGCTATATCCAACACTACCAAGCAGCCTTTGCCTGATCCTGTGCGCCGGCGTTTAAACGGGCACACCCGTGATCCGTCCTACTGCTAAGCCTCGGCTCTCGTCCCCTCAAAAACAGATATGTCACATATTCATTTTGCTCCGCAGTGTGGCCCCCTCTGCTCTTGGAGCAGCGGCTCGTCTGGGAGTGTAAACAACAGGGTAAACTTTAGGGAGACAGAAAGAAGAGCTACTCTCTCCTTAACTCTGGGTCCCATCTTCAGCAACCTTCCCTCCTCACATCTGTTTTCTATCACTCGTACATCCCCACCAGCAGCCACTAGCTGTACCTGGATCCAAATAGTAGGCGTGACTATTTCGTCTTCTTCCCCTGACCGTTATGGCCGAGCAGGCGATCTCCCAGAAAAATCAGCTTCCTGTGATTGTCAAAACCCTGCATCGTGTTGTCCTACAGGAGACGTTCATCTGGCACTTGGAAAATATGCTTGTTCCAGGACGTTTGAGAAGATTCACGCCACTCGTGTTGATATGGCGCTGCAGCTAGCTACCAATTGGGTCACCTTTACATGAAGCAGCTAGCCTGGCTCTGTTCAAAGGTAACGAGGGTCCCCGCATTCGTGTGAATCTTACTCCCTTCACCCCGAACAGTCGCCGAGGTTTCTTCCTGTTAAAGGGGAGTTCTTCCTGTTAAAGGGGAGTTCTTCCTGTTAAAGGGGAGTTCTTCCTTGCCAATGTCACCACTTGCTCACAGGGGTCATGTGATTACTGGGGTTTTCTCTGTATTATTGCAGGGTCTTTACCTTAAAATATTCAGCACCTTGAGGCAACTGGCATTGCGATTTGGCGTTATATAAATAAAATTAAATAAAATTGAATTAGTCAGGGTAGTTCCAATCTACTAGAATCAGGATAAAAGCAAAGTGAAGTGTCAACTAAGGACATATAAGCTCCGCCTCTGGTGGAAAGTGAGGCTAGAGCGGAAGTGCTGAAAACCTGGGCTTTTTCTAACGGCCAGCAGGGGGCGACTCCTGTTTGCAAAATCTGATTGTATCCAAGTCTATGAGGAAACGATCCTCCGTATCACTTCATTTCTGACCTCAAGAAGTACTTTTGTAATGAATTCATGATCTCAATCGCTAAACTGAAGTCTTCATTGATATAAACTCTGAATTTCTAGTGAAGCAGTCATGCTTTTGCATGTGTTCCTGGGTTTTAAGTCAAAGCCACAGTTAGCTTATGATGTCCAACTGCCAAAAAGCTCGACTTAACATATACAATCAACACCAGTTACCCAGTGGATTACTTTCAAATGCTTTGTTCTTTCTAGGTTTCCGCCGTCTAAACTGTCGCAGAGTTGATTTGAACATTCCTAAAAAATTACCAAACGGGTTTCGGGTCTAAACCCTCTTAAAACTGCTCATATTCTGCATGGATACGTCGATATAAAATCATCATATAATCAAAACGGTCACTGGGGGTGCAGGTTTGGTGGTTTTATTAACTTTGGACAGAACCAAGCCAGCTAACCTCAGCTAAGCCAACCAGCTGTGTGATGTAGTGGCATCAATCCCTCATCTCAACTCCCTGGAAAAATAAGCATATTTCCCAAATGTTTTTGCAAGCACTACTTGATCTGGGTTAGCTAACCACCCTGTCTCCACTGCTTCAACATACCGCTTCTGACTGTGTTTCTCTTTAAGGTGCTGTCATTCAAATACAAAACAATTATAAAATAGTACAAATCCAAAAGAGGAATAAATTCAAATAAGAGAACACACGAGAGATAATAAAATCATTCATCTACATTACATAAGGGCAAATTGGGAACCAATAGCTGCTGCCTGTAGCTGTGAAGCTGTCAGTAATTATATAGTCACACTGCGATTTTCAGTGTGTGTGTGTGTGTGTGTGTGTGTGCGCAATGTTTGGATATCTAATTAAGGTAGAAAGACTTCACTGGGCTTAAAAAATAAGAGTGAAATAACACAACACCACCACCTATAAATACTACAACCTAAATGTGAGACTGGGCACGTGTGTGTGTGTGTGTGTTCATACATGCTGTGGTCATGGCACAGACTGAGTGATTGTTCTGAATGTGGGGAGACGTGAGAGTGAGTGGAGGCCGATGATCTGTCGAACTGAAAGATGGGGCTGAGGATTGTGAAGGCTTCTTGTACCTCAGGTTTGTTTCCTCTTTAAAACTTTTAAAATAGGCAAGTCTGGTTTACCTCCCATGCCTTGTAGGTAAATAGTGCACATCTTTAAGATTAGTGTTAATTGATTCAGCTTGTAGTGCAACCCTTAATCAAGTTTTGGCATGGTCACTAGTTAGTAGTAGGGTGAAAGGGGCTATTTTAGGTCATTCAGAAGGATAGAAACATTGGTCATTTGGATTTTGTTTTGAGTGATGACAGACATCACAGGAGCGTGGACTGCAGCTTTCCCTGGGAACCGAATTGCTTTGATTAGACTGTGACTTGAATTTGTATTTGCTAGACAACTGATCTTTCTAAGCCATTTGTTACACAATGCGTCTTTATAAAGTAGGAGAAGCCGACGGCTTTCCGTCCTCAGGTTCCTCCTGCGCTGCTGTGCTGGTTCGGTGGTTTGAGGAGAGATGCCTCCTTGCTGCTGCTGTCCCCTTACCCCCCCTTCTCCCTGTCATCCCGGCATCCTCTTGTCCATCTATTCGTCTTTCAACGTATCCGTCTTTGCTTGAAACGGGTCCTGCCTCTGACTGTGTGTAAATAAGTCCAGAGTTCCACTAAAAGCGTCATGCTGCTGTAATTTCCTGCGTTGCCTGGTTACATTTTGTATCAGGTGAGACATACTGTCAGGGCCAGTCGGTGGGTTGGTTGGAGGACAATTATTATCCTGCGGGTTGTTTCTCTGGTTCTTTTTGTGGTTTTTGTTGTTGTTTTTCTATTTCTGATTGCAAAGAAAGAATTCTAGTTGCTGGTTTGCACACAGATCTTGTCAGAGGAACCAAGACTGAAAAAGAAAAGAGAGGGAAACACGGGATGAGATCATGTTAGTGACAAAAATATTAAGCAGCTTAAATAAACTTTATGTGCACAAAATGTGACCCACTGTGTTTGTTCAAAATAAACTGGGATGACCACTTTTGCAGACTTTACCTGCGTGTCTGACTCTGTACTGTTGGCCAGGTTAGTGCAGTCATTTCAGCCTCCTACCAAATGTTAAACATCACCACAATCTTCTCTCTGTTTCCACGTTATGGCATCAATAATGCCCATAAATATGATGATATCCTTTAACCTGTTATAACCATGTAACCATTCCTGCCAAATTAAAGGTGTTTCCTCACACGAGGTTGCTGTGACCTTCACCTCTGAGCATGGATGATCAACCTGAAACATGCCTGTAGCTGTATAACGAACGCCCATCCAAAGAGCAACTGCACCACAAATGGTTTCTGAAAATGTCTGCACACCGTGTTGGCTTTTGGCTTCAGGGGGTTCCTCTAGTTTTTAAATACAGTGAATGACAGAGTTGTCATCTGGGCCTCTAGCCCAGCTTATTACCATCGAGTCTGTTCATTTCTGCAGAGAAGTACAGTATGTCTTGAATTTGGCTGAGTAGTTAATAGCTCCTAATAGCCAAGCAGCAGCAGGGAGATAGCAGTCTGGCGCTCTGTGTCACTTGCGCCTTCTTCACGTTGAGTTTTCTTCTCCGCAGCATGAGCAAGGAGCAGAAATGGGTCACCGCCACTGTTGTTGGCTGCCCTGCTTGGCCTCCAGGATCTGGCACTGTGGGCTGGTGCACCAACATTCTAGAAGTCAAGCCTTGGAAACTACTCTGCGCCTCCAGGGAAGCAGCCTTTTGTTTTGTTTGACTCTAACAGGTCGCATGAATACCCCCCTGCCTCCCTCCTGCCTCCTGCCCTTCTCAGCTACCCTACTCCCCTTGGGCACGGTCCCAGCAGGCCTTGGGCATTGTAACTTCTCCCTTCTTAGTTACTCCGTCCCTCTGTGTATGTGCTTACAGACACACACAATCCATCTATCTCCCGTGAACACTCCCACTAAATCCTTGGCAGCAGACAGTGACCACCCTCTTTTCTTTCCTGCCCCCCTCTCGAGCAACCCCTTCTCAAATTCAAGATCAACTGGCTATGACATCATGTCTGGTTGCCGGGGGTAACGAGACGGCCAGGACGTGACTTCTATAGGGGCCGAAACTCTCTGTTGCTCTGTTCCCTCCATTTCCCCTCTCGCCTTGCCCTGCTGGTATCTAGTTTCTCGTCTCGCCTGGATGCAGCACCCAACGCTTGCCACTAGAGGGAGGACAAAGCCCACCGCTGGCCCTGAGCCGCCACAGGCTCGTTTTTGAGAGGATCTTTGTTTTGTGATTGATATTTTAGTTTTAAAGTGGACCATTAATCTTTTCCTGTCACTGCAGAGACACGTGTAAACAGTGTGTGTTTTATCTACGCATTGAAAAGTAAAACCATATTTCAGACAATTTGTCCTAGTCGGTGCAGAACATCTCAACTTTTCTATGAGACACATAGCCAGAAGTTTTTGGTTACCTCTGTCCAAATACATCAGTGTTCTCGGTGCTATATTTTTTTAATGTTTTTATGGTTTAGGCCTAATGAAACCAAAGACATAGCGGTAAGTAATATTTTTGACAACAATGTGTTGGCAACAGTTTGGGGAATCCGATATTTTGCTACACACAGAGCCAGATCCATGAAGAAATAGTTTTAATGTGAATTAACTTCACTTGGCGTTAACACTGACTGCAAGTCTTTATTGCCTAAATTAAGGGCTTTAACTCACAATAAGGGTTAAAGAGCGGACGCAGTTAGAGGAGCAGATTAATACCCACGGATCTTGAACCTGATGTTTAACAATTAAATACAGTTTGTATGTGATGTTCGCGTGTCCACACAGTTTGGCCACATGGTGTGTGCAAAGTTCCACTTCCAAGAAAATAGAAACAACTTAGAGTTAAGGAACATAAACATTTCATCAGCAAAGAAAACGTTTATGAAGTGATGGAACAAAAAGAGATGAACAGTGAAGCAATGAAGGGTAAAGAGCAGAGTATAATGAGCGGAGGGGCAGAAATGGAAAGGGAGAAAAGAGAGAGAACAGAGGGCAGAGAAACAAGGGAGGAGATCAGCAAAGCAGTTTCAGATGGTTTCCATGTGTCGACGAGTGGAGCTGAGCTGGCTCCAGGCGGGTGTGGTTGGACATTAATGAGAAAAGTACTGGTGGTAATGGAGGAGGCACATGAATGAGGTGCAGGGTGGTGAAGGGGAGGAAGAAAGAAGGTGAGAGAAGGAGAAAGTAAAAGGCAGAGAGTGAGCAAAGTGTGGTAAAGCTAAAAGGACGGAGAAAGTGAAGTAGGAAAAAAAGGTGGTGGTGGGGGGGGGGGGCAAGAGGAGGGAAAGGAAAGGAAGCAAGTAGAGAAAAAAAAGCTGTGAGTAAAGGAGCCTGAAGGGTAGGCTCCATATGTGCCAAATAAACAGTTGAGCACATATGGTAAACCACACACGTACTGTAAAATACAGATGTACAAATGCACACATTGATGGCGAGCTGTGGGATGGTGCGAGAGAAGAGGTGGAGGAAACCGTGCAGCAGGTTTCAGGCAGTGAGGGAATAAGAAATATTTTGGCGTACATCCACGCAGTTAATAAGTTTCCAGAGTTTGACCAGTAATTGCAGCGAAAACAGCTGAGTTTCCTCCTCACTCTCCTACAAAGTGAGAAAAACTGCCAGTATATCACCCAACTCCTACCTGTGTCTGCTGCGGGATGTTCAGAAAGTTGTTGTCCCGTGATCCGATGCCGACAAACCTGTTGGGAGCTGTGGCGCCTGGCGTGGAGTATGCTACGGAAACAGAAGGAGGACAAAAAAATCATCAGTGCCAACTAAACAGCTAGCACTGCAACCTCTCACGGAGCCTTAACTGGAAAGGTGCAAATTCTGGGAAGTAAATGTGTACACTCATTTTATGAAAGTACAGTGAAGAAAGGTGTTTACTTTCATGACTGTAAGCTAAACCGAATGTAGCTACCTGCTGGTTTAGCTTAGCATAGCATTAAAACTGACCATAGGCTGGATAAAATGCGATGAATGTAGCCACGGTGACACCACTTACTTATTGGGTTGTAAAGCACTCTTTTAAATCTCCAACAATATCTTTTTGTCTGCTCCCATGTTGTTGTTGTTGTCTTTTTAGAAACAAGTGACCACACATGGCTGAGCATAGAGTGCTAGCTTATCAGCTAACGCTAGCAAGAACGCCTTGGCTAGCAAGAACGCCTTGGCTAGCAAGCGGCACCCATTAATATTACAATTTCTCTCAGCAGAATTGATTATACAGACAGCAGGCCAAAATATTTGTTAGATTGATCCACTAAAATTCTCCAAAAGGCAACAACACCTCAAACACCGTGTGAGAGATTCCTCTACCAGAATTATAGAAAGTAGCCAGAAATACAGCCACAGCCCACTCTCTCGACATTCATCTGACAATCAGAGGGCCACACTATCTGTTTTATTCTTAATGACTTTTAAAAAGAGTACAATTCACTCTTCATTTAATAATTATAAAATAAAGACAGGACCCATTTTTTTCAAGACTAAGGAACATGGACGTCTATGGGTTTAGCTTGTTTTTGGAGTCAGTCGTTTTCTGGCACTTTAGTGTTGACTTTATTATGCGTTTTTTTTGTTTTGTTTGATCTCTGCAGGTTGATACTTGACTAAATAGCTAGCACAATCCAAAGTTACCAAAACCACAAAACATAGCCACACCTGTTTAAAACCGAGATTCTAAATTAAGCAAACTGACGTTACCTTCATGTGATTGAGCGATTTAAATCTTTTAAACTTTTTCTCTTCTAACTTTGGCAAAAAAGCAAATCATTGTAAATGGTCATTGCTTCAACATGAAATGGAATATATTAAACCTAATAGATTTTGGGAAACAGGCGCTTGCTTCTACCGAAAGTACAGCTATACATCATTGAGGTCATTAAGACCCCATGGAAATCTGGCATGCAAACTCAGATCTCCCCGGTGATTAAGGCTACTAGATAAACTTCGTTGGAAGCGATTATGCACACTGAAATTCTGACACTGAGGAGTCAGGGACATTTAAAACCCAGTGGCATCAACGTCTCTGACAAATTTAGGGCAGTTTGAGGTACCCTACGGACTCCAGAATCTGAATCTCACTGAGGCATTCAGAGATGTAGTGTGTAGACTTGTGCATATGTGTGTCTGTTTGAGTGGAGGAAAGGGAGGACAAGAATGAGAGACAGGAAGGAAGATAGATATACATCCATGTGTTTCTAAGAATTGGAATAACATAGATAAGACATAGAAGACTTTGAGACGCTGACTGGGGGTAAAACAAAAACACTATATTTGAAGGAGAGCTAAAAACAAACAAAAAAAGTGCTCCATCCAGTGCCCCTCCTACCACAGGTGAGAGAATGTACTGTATGACTGACAACAATTTAAATGCACACCCTGTTCTTGCTCTCTAACAACTACCATGCAACAAAAAGAAGCTAAAGCGAAAGAGGTACCGCTAAGTTATTCCATAAGGTGTCCCAATCTCTACTGGAATGTTTTTGGAGTCCATATAAATTAACTGCCCTAAATTTGTGCCCTTTCATAAGCAACAGTAAGTTAAAAATAAAAATCTTCTTACGAGGTTTAGCGATGTGCCCAGAGAAGGAAGAAAAGAGGATTTAGAAGTAGAAGAAGTGGAGCGGTGATGTAGCTTTCTCACACCAGGCCACACAAAATGGGTTCAACATGTAGAGCCCCTGAAACTCATGGGACCTAATACAGAACCCTGATGAATGCCACCCAAGTCCATAATGAAGACTACTTTGAGCCAAACCTTTGATGGCCTTGATCTACTCTATGCTCCACAGTATATTCTGTGCTTGCTGCTATTGCCTTCCACGGGGCTAGGGAGATGCGATGCTGGATACACAATGATGGGGCGAAGTTGGAGGAAGAACACTGACAAAGGTCCTTTGCCTGGAGAGGGTTGGGATTTTCTGATTTGTTTTTTTATATTTCTTTTTTTTGGTGTTGGTTTGGTTTTGAGAACGGTCTCTGCGGGGTCACTTACACGGAGATGCGGGCGAGGAGAGTCCGCCGTCAGGGGGCGTGCTGTTGGGTTTAGAGTCGGGCATGGGAAGGGGCACTGGGCGGGCCACTGGGGGAGGTGGAGGCAGCAAGAAGGAGCCTGGCATTTTGCTCTGGCCGCTCCCGTTTGGCTGCAGACAACACAAATAGGGTCAGGAGGGCGACATGCGACAATCCGCAGACACGGAATGAAAACAGGACGCAGCTTGGGAGGCCAGGTCCAAAAAAATATCCATGACGGCGGGAGGAGGAGTGGGAGGGGGGGAGCGATGGTGGAAGGAGGAAGAGGAGGAGGGTGGGAAACAACAACCAAAGGAATGATGTATGTGGACGGCATCTTTCATGAAGGTGTGAAAAATAATAATCACCACAGGGTTTGAAAGGAGTAGGAGTTGGAGCTAAAGGTGAGAGGTTCCACAGGGGTGGTCCGTGTCGGGTGGAGGAGGGGTGGAGGAGGGAAGTGAGCGAACTGTTTGACTGGGTTCGTCCAGAAGATGGCAAGAAATCAAAACCATGGAAGGATACTCTTCTACACAAGCACAACACCACCAACAACAGCAGCACCAAACAACCAAAACTTCAACTAAAATCAGAACGGCTAAATGAAAACAGAAACACGATGACACAACACAGGGCGGGTATGCTTGACTTGAAGTGTGCCGTGACTGAGTCATTCTCGTGCTGATGGTTATAATTTCTGAGGGGTTGGGTGGAGCAGAAGAAAGAAATAAAAAGAGGAGGAGGGGGAACGTCAGGGTCTGAAAGAGGAAACGGCAAAATGACATCGACAAGACAGTACAAAGATTTGTAGACCAGCTGAGTAAACGAATGTGACGTGTGCTGTATTTGTGTCGCCGTGGGTATATTTCCCTATAATGTAGGTGGACACGTCGTCAAAGAAGCTCCTTGTTTATTCAAAGTAATAGTATAATGGTTCATTCATGATTTCAAATTTAGGACCATAGTTACAGTTGAACTAGTTTTTAGACTTAAATATGTCATTAGATTCCAATGAGGTACGATCAAGATGTGCAATTACAACAAAATTTCCAAATTAAGACAAAAAGAAAGAGATTTGTATACGTCTAATCAAGCTGCTCAAATTCTCACCTATAAATCTATTAAACAAGTAAACTCCAAGCACCAAAATGACAGATGAAGGATTAAAACTAAAACAAGCACTATTCTTGAATATGTATCACATCTGTCAGTCACATGATCCGAGAAAACAAACAAAAAAACAACAAAACCTCAGGGATAACGTGCATACCTCTCACTTGGTGAACCTGACATCATGTTAAGTTATAATTAACTGAGAAAGACGAGCCACAAACACACATTTCATTATGCACACTGCTTCCGTGTGCTGCACTGTTTCACTAACATACGGTGGTCCCTCGCTATAACGCGGTTCAGCTTTCGCGGTCTCGCTGTTTCACGGATTTTTTTGTGTGCAATTTTGCATGCTTTTTTTTTTTTAGAGCGCATTGTGTCCTGCATCCTGATTGGCTGCAGACCATTGTCAATCAATCTCGTGCCGTGTCTCCTGCACAGTACAGAACGCGTTCAGCTTGTCAAATTTACATAAATCTTCGATTGCTAGCAGTGTGACTCTGAAGTGCTGCATGTTTGTAAGTTTTCTCCCCAACAAACACAACAATGTCAAATAAGCGTTTTAATCGCCTAAATTGTCTTGTAATCGGAAGGTTGCCGGTTCGAGCCCCGGCTTGGACAGTCTCGGTCGTTGTGTCCTTGGGCAAGACACTTCACCCGTTGCCTGCTGGTAAATGGCCTGCATTTGTGTATATATATATATGTATATATATATATATAGTGCTTTACTCAGTCCCTAAGGACCCCAAAGCGCTTTTTGGGGGCCTGGTGGCGCCAGTGTCCGGCAGCCTCGCCTCTGTCAGTGCGCCCCAGGGTGGCTGTGGCTACAATGTAGCTGCCATCACCAGTGTGTGAATGGGTGGATGACTGGATGTGTAAAGCGCTTTGGGGTCCTTAGGGACTAGTAAAGCGCTATACAAATACAGACCATTTACCATTTTGCACCATCAAAGCCAACCGCGGGTGTCTTTGGTTTCATTCTATAATACTGGACTTATTTCTCTACGACGGTTTGAGTTTAAACAAGAGAGAAAAGTGTGAAAATGTTGTCTGTCTAAGAAAAGAGTATAAAGTGTGTAGTGAGGGGTTTTACAGCCTTAAACATCTATAATAATTGTAAAAAATAAAAAAATAAAATTGGCTACTTTCATTTTTAGAACGCAACTTCCGCGATAAACAAGGGACCACTGTATTTATATTTTCCATGCTGGCAGTCTTTATGTCTCCATGTATTGGGCGTCACACAGTATTCTGTCATACTGCTGTAATAACGGTGCAAGATAAGAGTTTGATAGTCATGTTTACTTTCATTGGTGGCGGCTCTTACCTGCCCAGCGGCCTGCCCTGAGCCATCGGCACAGACAAACTGCACAAATTCCTTCAGGGGATCCTGTCCAGGGTGGTGGTGATAGCGGATGGTTGGGTGGGTGAAGTAGGGGCTAGACTGCTGGATGATGGAGGGAGACGGGAAGTGCAGGGCCGAGGCAGAAGCACGGGGGCTCCCTGTAAACACAGACGTTTGGTATTAGAGGAAACACGAGCAGAGGAAGAGCGGGACACGAACCGCTGAGTTTCTAAACATTCTTACAGATGGGAGAGATGAACTGAGCAACCACCAAGTGATAGCAAGAATATCACATCGCAACTGGAAACAATAAAACTGAAATCTGGTTTTAAGATGAAAGGAACTCGGTTTTTCTAGGAGAAGCTAATTAATAGGTATTGTATGCATTGCTTATTTTTTATGACTCCTCCAGTAAACCCTTACAGCTTTATTGAAGAAATTTATATGAAACGCTGCATCCAGATGAACACAATGAACTTTTCGGAAAGAGATTTATACACACATACATTCACATCTGAACACTGAGACAATGTAACAATTTAGGGCAACGGCGTTCAGCCTGCACACACTTCTAAATGGGCACAAATTCAGCAGATAAAAGCGCTGCATTTTGAAATCAGATCCAAAAAGCCTGTTAAAAACCACAAAGAGATCATTGAGTAGTGTCTTATATTAGCCTGTCTTAATGCCTGCGCTCCTGTGTGCTGTTTTTCAGGGTGTGATTCACTGGCGTTGATGCATTTTGGCATTTACATACTAAAGCCTTTTTTATCTGACACATTTTGTTTCTAAGACAGAATTAATCTGTAAATACTCTCTAAATCTGAGTTAATATTTTTTCTGCTAAATGGCTTGTGAGCTTTATATCTGTGTATGTGCACGACAGGTGCGGAGATGCAAAATATAACTGCATTCTGTGGCTAATAAGCTTACAAAAACAAAAAAACATTCTGTTTTTCACCAAAGAAAATAGTGAAACTCACACCAAACAGATGAATATATGTCTGAGGTGCGAAAGGGGAGCAGTTGGTTGAGCCCGACCGCACCGAGCACAAAGCCCTCTCTGTCAGACTTATATCCATTACTAAATCTCCTTGTTTTGTATTAGTAGCCTGTTCTCTTAGCTGTGCCAGTTTAACACCCACCCATCCCATACAGGCCCCCCAGCTGCCCACATTGGGCTGCCAATGCTCTTTAGTGCTTGCATCTTATACATTGTGTGTGAGTGCACTTCATAAGGGTGCCAACCCTGCTGCATTACCCCCCAGACAAGGGCCTATGCTTCAGGGCCCAGCAGCACCTTGCTTCCATGCCAGGCTGCCTGCTCCCAAGTGAAGCCGTCTCCCTGCTCCTATAGTCGCATACTAATCCCATTAGACACTGGGTGAAGGCCAAATGCTGGGGGTATGGGAGTATGGATGGGGTGGTGGTGGTGGCCCCTTCATACTTTCACCTTCTTTTGATTCCCATCATATTTCCCTTTGAACTGCCAAACCCAACTAGCCACCTGACACGTCACAGAGGTATTAAGAATATTAAGATATTAAAATATTGCTAAATAAATTCATTATAATCCTTCTTATACAGTTGAACTATCAGCGTTTGCTTAGTTTCTAACGGTGCTATGCTAATATCCAGGGAGAAGCTGGACATTTAAACCAAATGGTCACTACTTGAAGGCTAATGTTTATCACTTAACCTCAGCTGTTTTAAAACGTTTCCTTTACAATACTTTCAGCTAATGGTGGAAACAATTTATTCGTTTCTTTTAGATAACAGATACAGATTTTTGTAGGTATTCCACTCATTATTGCACTACTTTAGCTAACTATTTTACAACGTCAGCCAACTATACCAGTGCTGTCTTTATTACTTTCAGCTAGCTGTGTAAGAATTTATCTGTCATTTCAGGAACATGTGTTTAGCTTTGTTTAATTTTTTAACATTTAGAGATGATTTTGAGCTCTTCCAGCATTTTAGACATTCCTCTAAGTGTTTCAAATACTTTTTTAAATGGTACATCCAAACTGTCTGTTACATACATTATAATTTGCTTGGTTCATCTGCTAACAAGCACATAGTCCTTCAATACAAACACAGTTTTTTTTATATAGGGAATTTGCAAAAACAGTGGAACCATGGCTGACGTGGCTAAAGGGAGAGCCTCCATGAAAGCCACCCTTTAGCACCATTGCTGCTATGAACAGCTGGCCCCTGCATGCTCCTTATTCCCACTTTCAATCCTTTAAATCTCTTGGATCTTGTCTTTTACGTAGAATAACAACAACGCTGATGATGTGGTAACCACTTTCAAACTAGCATGGCAGCATTCCCAGCGTGCACACTGCCACAGTTTGTATAAAAAAAAACAAATCCCAAAGTGTGTAACTTAGAACCTCTGGCCACCGCAAGGATGGGATATTGTATACATGTGTGCACGATGGTGTGAACACTAACAGTGCATGTATGTGTGTGTGGAGACTGGGTTTGCTGTAGTCACATCTCAAAAGGTTCTGTCAACAAGCGCTGAGTAGGGTTTAATGACATGGCGGTCAACCTCACATCTGCTCAGTGACTAAAAGATCCTTTGATGTAGCGCAAGCACAAGGGTAATTATCTCCAGTGAGCTTTGTGAATTTAGAAAAGTACATAAAAAAGAGAAAGTCTCTAATTTGATCTGCACTGTACTGGTAAAAAATTATGATTTTTGTATTTATATTTGGAAGCTCTTCAGCTCCACGTGTAAATAAAGTGGCAGGGTTTAAAGATTCATCTGGTACACAGTAGCTCAGACTCAAAACATCACTTTGTGACCGTGCTACGTGTCAACCTGGACTTCCCAAACTGGAAAGGGAAGCAAATCAATAGGAATTTCAAGAAAAAAAAACCCATAACGTGACTAGTTGACTAATTAAAGGTCATGAAGCAAAAATGATTTGAATGAATGATTTCCTTCAAGTTCCTGTCTGGACTGATACATATTCACTACTGTTGCCACCAAGTATCAGTGTGACCGTGCAGCTTGCAGATTTAGATATTGTTACAAATTGTTACAAACCAACAGCGAGTTTGGGGTCTGAGACCACGGCAGCTGTGCAGTTGGCGTCATTACTGTCAGACATTTTGGAGCATTAAAAGGAAACTTTTAAGACCAACAAGTAGACGCTGAGATAGTGACTTTTAGTTTGTACTAATGAGGGAAGCTCTAGAAGACCCCATAACTCAACAGCGTCTTTCTGCGACCACTTCAGAACCCCCTCTTCAAGTGTAATTCTGACTTTCTGGTAAAAAAGCGTTCAGCCAGGATGAGATAACCCGGTCGGCCCGTTATGAAGTCATCAAGGCCTTTTTGCCCAACGAGTCAAACTTGTTTCAGAGCTAGAAAATAAAAATGCAACAATTCTTCTTCTACAGCTCTTGGACTGTACTAGGGCAGCTTTGCATCTTTTACAGTTTTAAATAATGCTTTTTTCTTTTTTGCTGAGCCTGGTCGTAGCCTAGTTGACCTGCCTTCATTCCCCCCTTGATTGGCTGCCGGGAGGCTTGAACAACGAATAGGTGAGGTTGCTTTGCTCACAGCCAAAGCTGTGACATCACGCAGAGCCAAGAGTTAGGTGGTATTTAGAAGAGCCTGAAGCCTTTCGGCTCACAGGGATTAGTCGTGCGTACACTTACCTCATTCATTTGAAATTTTGTCCATGTTTATCGTGAGAAAATCTGAATTTGAACCCCCAAAAAGCAAACAAACAAACAAAAATCCTAACAATAGCTTGTTTATTCATTACTCATTTCCACTTGTGGTCCTGAGACTGGTTTGCCATCCAGGAGTCTTAAAACGAATACTGGGAGTGGACTTGTTAGGACAAAGTTGATCTGACAGAACAGGTTGCAATATCCAGAGACAATCTACAGAAAAGTACGACTAACAGCCATCCACCACCAGACAGAACTAGAGAAGCCACACACCACACCCAGAAACCCTGCAAGCTCCATCACCGGCAAGAACTGCACCCCACGAGGTCGGAGGAGGCAGAAGAGGACGACCCATAGAGTTACCTGCCAGCTTCCCAGCCACTCCCATCTCCCAAAGACAACGCCCCCAGCTCTAAACCACAGAGGGGTAGGGTGGGGGTGGGGGCACTGAAAAAGTGAGAAGTGGGTAGGAGGAGATGGTGAGGAGGGGGAGAGGAAGGGGTTGGGGCGATCAGGGGGGGATCGGGAGCTGGGTTGGTCTCACCTGGTCTCACTCCCGCCAGCATTGGCAGTGGGTGGTGGGTGAACGCCATGCGGGGGGACCTCGTCTGGGAGGACAGGGCGCTGAAATCGAATTTCCCCGGCTTCTTAAGTGAACCAGGCGACGAGAGTCCTGGCAAAAAGGGGATCAACAAGATGGCAGAACAGAGACGAGGTTTTAATCAAACATGGCTCCTTTTCTTACTTTGACTCTACTCAAAAAAAAGAAAAAGAAATTTATCAGACTTTGTCAGATTTGATTACAAGAATCAAATGATTATGATCGACTGAAATCAATGGATTGATCGACTGATTCATTCATTGATTTGTTTGATTGGCTTAACATACAGATGGGTCCTCACAACCTGTCTATTCTGCGTCTGTACAGTCGGCGGGCTGTACCGCGTCTGTCTGATCGAAGGGGAGGGGGGCTGAGGGCGGGGTCCGGCGAGAGGCCATGTTTCGAAGCAGCGGGGGTTCAGAGCAAAGGGAGGTGACGGGAGAGGGGAAGGGGTGGGTCGGGGGTCAGGTCGAGAGGCTGGGGGCACAGCGTCAGGACAGAGGAGAGCTGGGAAATGCAATAGCAGTTCAACTATGGTCACCACTGAGTGTATGAACAACACAGCAATCGCCCTACTCACTGTAACCACTGAAATCTAATCAAACGGTCTCCTTTGTGAGGCGCAAACGACTCGACTAATCCCACACGACAACGCTCTCAGAGCCCGGCGTAGCTACAGTCAGGAACGCAGTCAACAAACATGCCAACCAACCTACTCGCTGCACTTGTCAGGACGCCTCTTTAGAATGAATGGGATTGTGGATGGCCTCATATCTGGGGCAGACTGTGCTTTCGATTCGATGCCAGCATGAGCTGTGCAACTACATATAGCTGCAGACGAGCATGCCAAAACATACATCAATGGATCCTCTGATGCAGTGCCCTTCTGCATATCTGACTGTCAGGTATTTTATGTTACTGACTTATAGTATTTCATAAAGACGTGCTTGAACTTATACACACACACACACACACACAAGCTGTTCAGGCTGGGTGGTAAGCACCGGGCGAACTGCCAGTAAAGGCTAGATGGGAGAGCTGTAGAAAGATGGAAGAAGTTAAGCAGGAGCGGTGACGGCATGGCCGGCACACACACAAACATATTAAAGTGTCCCCCCTTGTCTATAAATGTCGGCCGAGGCTAAAAGCCTGCATGAAATATCCCTCAGTTTGGCAAAAAGGGGCACACAAAGTATAGGCCCAGCTCACCAGCGGACCAGAAACATGGCCAAAAGTGTGAGAGCTACAGATAAAAGAAGCTCTCTTCTGTGATCAAGGCCTTGTGTGGTGGGTGCTGAGGGAATTTATTTTGATGTATGGTAATCCAAAGGCACAATTTAGACTTTCTGGGTTTGAGGAACGGTGCCAAATGGTGTATTTGACCTCTGCGTGGAACCGCAACGTTGAATATAAGCTGAAATAAACCTCTGGAAAGAAACAAATCCATAAAACAGAGAATAATGAGGAAGTTAAAGTACAGAAAAGTACATCAGCATGGACACACAGACCTCATTACTTTTCTCTGGAACATGCGGAGCTCGTGTTTTGCTTCACATTTGGTTGAAAGAATAGAGCGATAAACAACCTTGGCGAGAAGGACGCCCGTAAACTACTAAACGACACAATATTCACACATATAAAACAAACACACTCGAATAAAGACGTGGATAATTTCAACATGGCCCGAGAGATGTGGAAATAGATTTTACGAGCTGAGCTTATAAAGTCTAACACAGCAGATTTCTAAACAGCTTTTTCTTAAATGCTAAACTGGGAAATGTTTTATCACTATTTAGCCACAATGCTCACGGTGCAGCTGTGCTTGTGTGGGCACCTATAAGCACAGAAAACGGTGGGCGCTGGCACTTATGCTCAGATAGGCACGTCACGTGACTTCACGAGTAGGTGGGAGGAGCGGACACGGCGAGGAGGGTGAGATGCACTTTATTCACCGAAATATCATCCATCTGGTGATGCTTTCTTGGGGGCATCTTACAACCAATTTACAGCTACTACAGTAAAGCTGCAATCTACTGTTAACAGACTGGAATAATCAGCCAGAACTTTCAAATCACTGGCAAGTGGAGTGAGTAACATTTATAATGCCATTAAAATGTAATATTATGCTGGAAATTTTGGATGATGTCATCCATGTGGCTGTTACTTTGACATGCATTACCCACCTCTAACCCACCCTTTCCCTCATGATGACTACTGTACTCCCTGCTGGCTGGCAGCATGCCTGCCAAACTCCTCACGAATGGCTCAAGAAACGTAAGAGCTCAAATTTTCAAGCCTCAAAAGTCTTAAAATTTTAATATGACAGAGCATCACAGGACCCAATGAGGTCGCCTGTCCATACCCCAACAGGTCAGAGCTGTTTGGCATGTTAGGCAGATGGTTTTAGTTTTAAGGAGTAGTACGTAAGGATGTACCCAAGGATAAGCTCAAGAGACGTGCAGAATCAATTAGGCTCTGGAGTATCTTTGAAGGAGTCGAGACGACAGATACGGCTCCATTTTTAGATTTTTTTATTTGAGGGTTTAAATTGTAATAAAACACTATTTGGGAGTATCAGGGATGTCACTGTCGTAGCACTGTGAGCATGTGTCTTTTTATTTCACGCATCAAATGAGCAGCTGCGTAGGATTTCTTGCAGCAGCAACCTGAAAGCAGCTGACCACCACAAACAGCAGCGTTTCTGTTTCGATGTAATTCTCATTTTTATTATCCTTAAAGGACATGATATGCCTAATTTTGACTAATACTTGTGAAAATGTGGGCATGTTTGTGTAGATGCAAGTATAAATGATAGTTTCAGCAGGGCTCTGTCTCGTCACAGGTTATCTGCAGCCATCTTCAGCTGAACAGGGATGACCTCTGCAGATCAGCTCTAGTCTTTGGCTGGTTCTGCATCAGTTTAGCTAATTTTATAAAATGAATTTGTAACTTCTGAGTTCTTCAACTTTCTCCACACACACACACACACACACACACATTATTTAAATGGCGTTAAAGCCACAGAGACTGAATGTAAACATGCTGTGTCTTCAATGCGTCCCTGCAGCAAAGCCTGTTTGGCTGCAGCTCCTCTGTTGGACGTATAGGCAGGACTCTGTGCTGCCACATCCCAACTTTAATTACAACCAGCTTATTATGCACAAACAGCCTTAAATTATACATATTGTTTTTAGTCTCTGTGATATTCCCTAATTAGTCGCTATCTTGCTGAAATATCTATCTATGCGGCTTCTCAGTGAGGAGCAGCAAATGAGGCCCAGATGCCCAATGAAAGCTTTGTCTGATAAAGCTAACAGAAGTTACTCTGATCTCTCTCTTAATCTGTGTGTGAGAGAGCGCGTGTGTGTCTGCACATATGCACGCACGCACACATACACAGTTGTTTGTTCCACGTTATTTCTGTGTCCTGCTCCTGGCACACTGCGCTAACAGACTGGCAGCCAATTGCTCCCATGACCCTGTAGTCTTGCCATGCTAACAAGCTGGCGACCACACAAACCCCCTAACTGTCACAGAACTGGTCCACTAGCGCGTGCGCGCACAACAGAGAGACGACAGATCTCGTGCACTCCTCGTCCAGGTAAGCGAGGAACAACGGTGTATATCAGCAGAGCAAAGCACCACGCGCAACATTACCGCAACATTCGCGCAACATTCGCGCTCGTATACACTAAGATAATGCGCACGGGGCAGCGCAAGGACACCTCCGCAAGACAGCCACACACATGACGATTTAATGCCCAGATAATTAGCTCGTAATCTCTGTCAAAATCACAAATACACGGGAAACCCACCCCCCTCTTCCCTCACTGAAAAGCTGATAGTGGGCTTTCCCACCACTGAGCAGCAGCAGCAAGCAGGCAGAAGGAGAGAGCGGAGCTGAGCGGGAGACAGCGGACTTAATGATGAATTACATGATCACCTGCTATGCCTCAGAGCTTTTCATTCAGGTAGAGAATCACCTTCTGAGCACGCAGAGGCGGAGACTTCCCCCCTCCCCCTGTCCTCCGCCCCTCTTCTCCTCTCCACATCTCTCACTCCCAACACCACCACCACCATCACCAGAACAGATGTCTGCTGTAACCCAGTAGCTCCCTTCGCTGTAGACACATGGAGGCGCCATCTGGACCGGAACGCCGCTCCTCTCCAGATTGGGGAGTGTGCTTATGTGTGTGTGAATGTAAATCAGAGAAGGCGCTTAAATTTAGTTTTCTGTGCGCGTACGCACGTGTCTGCATGTCATTTGTAAACGTGCGCGTTAGTGAGTAAGCATGTCTCGGAGACAGAAGGCGCCGTGTGCGTTGATGACACACCTGAGTGCCTTTAGTCTTGTTTGTTTGGGTCGTATGTTGTTTTTCCTGCGCTGTCTTTCAGAGACGGTTGAGTCAGGCCTACAGCAGGTGGGACGCCGCTCAACAGCTCTGTCTAAACAACCGCAGGACGAAGCAGCAAACCCCCATTCACACACCCCGCTCCTCCTTCTTTGTGTCTTTCAGCGCTCGCTCCGGGCTCAACAACAAAATTACAACACCCAAGGCGCTTAGCTGAACGCCGCTGACAAACTCAGACCACCTCGCAAACTCTGTTTGCAGTCTCGTGGTTCTTCGGATATGATAATGCACCTAATTGCATATGTAGACTACGGTTTACATCAGTACATTCAGACATGTTCTCAATGCCACAGAGACGTCTGTATCCTCCATCACATTTCTTTCACAGATTTACATCTTTAAGGCAGACAGGCGGAAGATGTTATGGAGCTACTGGGCTACCAAAAGGCTTTGGTGAACCCACAATGGACAACAGCAGACATCTGGTAGAAACACAACCCCACCCAGCAGCAGCATAGCCAGAGAACAGGACACAAACAGAGGGATGAAGAGAAGAGAGGGACAAATGAAAAATCACGCAGATTCGCTCTGAGAGCTCACAGATTTGAAGAAAGGACAGAAAGAGATGAACACAAGCTGAGGGTGGTGTGAGCGGAGGTAGAGCATGTATACATGAACACAGTATAATGTTTAATGTTGTTCTAACCATGGTAAGGAAACTGCACTCCATCGCTCTCATGCTTAATCTTCCTCTCCTGCACACTGGCCAAATGGTGCTGCACTGAAAGGCCAAACAGGGGAGAAGGGAAGAGTTAACAATGGAAGAGGGGAGGAGAGAAAAAGAGACATCGAAAGAGATGGAAAGAATGAGAGAGAGAGAAACAGGGCTGGTTAAATAATAGGCAATAGGGGATTTTAATGTTATAGAGTGCAGCAAGTGTCTATAAAATAGTTACATCATTACTGCTGGCAGTATTAAAATGGCAGCATGTGAGTGGGAGGGACGGAGGATACAGGAAAATTTAGCAATTTAACAAAATCCCCAAAGCCAAATACGACACCCCAGAGATATATATTAAGTCTATTGAAAATACGTTTGACGTGATCGCCGTCATGATGGTTAACAGTGCGGTTACCCGAAGAGTGAGTGGCTATGACCTCAACATGTGAATGGGTGGTTGGAGTAGTGCAGCGTTTGGTGTAACTTTTAGGTGTCTGGAGAAAAATCGAAAACTAAAAATTCAACATTTTGGGAAATAAGCAAAATACTAATGGATGATAAAATTGGTAGCCTTCAAGTCAGCATTGGAGCAGCCAGCTCATGGTTAGCTTAATGTTGTCTAAGCTAACCATAATCACAAACCAAGAACATATATAAACGTGTAACATAACTGATGCCTACTTCTGAGTTTTATGTAATAAATAATGCAAAAGTTTTGGGCTGTTCACATTTATAAGTGAGCCTAGCAAAGTGACACTAAAGCCTGATGCATCATAATTATTATTAGCTAAGAAACATTAATATTCAGGCACTCGAAGAAAATCTTCTTAATGTACAATTTCCCTCTTTAAACTCTCAAAATAAACATCTGCCTTCGTCACAGAGAGAGTATAAAAGTATCCACAGTCTGACTTTAGTTCCTAATAACAACTATTCAATCTTTTATACCCAGGAAGAGGTTTTAGAGGTCCTGAAGCGTGAGTATTAAAAAACAGAAGAAGAAAAAGAACTTCAAAGTAGAAAAAAGTAAATTTTGGAGGGTTGTTCATTAGTTTGGTTTCTTAATTATGACTTTAGTGAACTTTGTTGGAATACGAATGATCCTAACATTTTTACATGGCAGATGAGAGGGTGTAAATAGATAAAAGAACAGCTAGCTCGGCTCAAGTCAATCAACAGCTCTGAGATTCACAAATGAATATAAAAACACAAAAACATAGAGAAGAGCAATTCGCCCTTATGGCCCTTTACAAGCCAGTTAGCCAATCACCCCGGCCTTCGCGGTCTACGTGGGCCGGGTCCTCAGAAGGTCGGGTAGGCCGGAAGTAAACGGCCGTGAAATTGGACGGTCTAGCCTTCTGATTAGCGTCACCGCTGTCTCGGTGGAGTTTAATAAACTCGGCCGTCTGCTCCTTGCTATCTAAAATATAACAGGACACTGGTGTAAATTCTCAACCGTCTCACACTTCAGTTTAATCAGTTTTCTGTTTGACGTTTATTCAGCTGTGTGAAAACCTGGAGGAACCCACCCGGGGGATTAATAAAGTTCTATCTAATCTAATCTAATAACTTTAATCTCAGCCAAACCGATTTACTCACGAACAAATAAAACACTGAAAAAAGCCCAACAATAACATTTTTATAAGTGACTTATATATTACGTTTAACCCGAGCAGCGAAAGTCCGCGGTGATCTGAAAATGATGTGCCGGGAGTTGTGCCGTTCTCGGCCGCATCAGTGACCCTCGAGCTCCCGGCGAGCTATCGAGCTGGTGGGTAGCAGACGTCTCCGAAAACGTCGAAGCACTTTTGCAAATATGCGATATCTTGATAAACCGAGCAGATATTTGATGTTTACACAGCTACTTTCTCGCCTGAAAATATGTTAAAAGTTTATTTTGTGACCCAGAAAGATTAGTAAGAGTAATTTTAAAACTTAGTAGCAGCCGCCATTGTTGGAAACTGGAGTTTGGCTGGGCCGCGCTATGAATTCTGGGATATGGTAGGCCACACCCGACCCATCCTTCAAATTCGGGGAAAAGGAGGACGCATTTGTCGGCCGCATTCGGAGGAGTCTACGAATTTGGACAGCCTTCGGCGCGTCGCTGTGACGTAATCGGTCTACAAACGCAGCCTCAGGAGGAAGCAGCCCATGAATTTGGACACGATCTGTCATTAGTCTCTGCACTGCATTAGCTAACTGGCTGCTAGCACAGCTTCCTCTTTGCGGTGCAATAATGTAAATTGCTGTATTTCCCAAAATCTCAAAATACTCCTCAGGAACACCACATGAAACATTACTGTGGGTTTACTTTAAGTCAGGTTTGTAAAGGACTCAGTTACACCCACTTGATAAAACAAAGTTGCTAAACATTTAGCAGATGATGTTTGTGTTTCGCAGTCTAATGCTCGACACTCACGCACACGTGCACTCACAGTCCTGGAGGTGAGCTTAATAGATGTTAGCTCTAATGCCGTAAAAACTAAATGTGTCCATCTCTGCAGCTATTCTCACAACTCAGACAACAAACACTAGACAGCAGACTATCCTCAGTTTGTGGTCTGATTAAAGGGGCAGTTTTTTTCTTTCTTTTATCCAATAGCATCAGCTTTCTTTCTGTATCCCATCACAACAGTGGTGTGATGAACATAAACCTTGTTTGTTTTGAAGAACTGGTACTGGAAAGACATTTTCCCATTTCCAAACACAATTTTCAAATGCATTAAGCATTAGATGATGGCAGAATTTCCAGCGATGGAAATAAAAAACCTTGAAATTTCTGCAAATTCCCCCAAATCTCTACAAACTGTTTCGAGTAACTGAGAAAATGTGTTTTTACTGGCTCTTTAAGTCCCTGCTGTATGTGAGAAATGATGCTTTGGTGGGGGGTCCATTTAGGGATGGCATATAAGAGGATTAGAAGTTGAAAATGAAAGATGGTGCAAGTGGGGGTGATGAGGGGGGGGGCGAGTATTGAAGAGTCAAAATAGATGCAAGCGGGTATGATGGTGAAGCATAATTAGCTTTAGCTTCTGGTCCATGTCAAGTCAGGAATTTAATGTTTGTGGGACATTTGTGGGAAATACATCTTTTTGCCTCGTTGCTGAGAGTTATTTAGAGCGTTACCTTTCTAACAGCTGCACTGTAAGTATGAGCAAAACACAGCAGGAAGTGGAGCGGCGAGTTTGGGCTTTGTCACATATACGAGACGATCATATTAAACGTGGCTGTCTCAAATAATGAAGTCAGTGTTCAAACCTTCTGTCTATAAATCAGGAGAAAGGCGGCTTGCCTCATAATGTGAACGAACTGGGCGCTGCACCAAGGCCGAGATAACATCAGATAATAATGCAAAGCTACTTCAGTGGAGTCCAAACAAGAAATATGGAGCCTGAAATGAGCATAAAAGGTTCCTCATTCTTAAAGTACGGTAACTTAGGCTACGTTCACTCTGCAGGTCTTAATGCTCAACTCCAATTTTTTGATCAAATCCTATTTTCTTGTCTGCTCGTTCACACTACAAATAAAATGTGACAGCAAACGCGCTCTAGTGTGAACGCTCAAAGCGGCCGCATGCGCAAAAGAAGACGTCACACACAACGCGCTCTGTTTAGACCCAGA